GTTGCCAGAACTTTTTGGGCGAACCGGCTAAATTGGCAAATAAAACCGGCTAAAAACGGCTAAAATGTTTCAATTAAATTTCACACGTTTTATTTAAATAAATCACGAGTAAAGACTATTTCTTGGAGAGAAGTTACAAATTCGAGCCGGAAAAAATTTTGCCAGCAAGAATTTGCAATTAGAAAAATATATAAAATATAAATTATAACTCGATTTGAAAATTTACAGTTTATGCTTGTTGGCTCTCCCCGAGTTGACATTAACCGAGTAGAAAATAAGCATAAACATAGTATGTAAGGATCCCTCGCCAAACTCACATACAAAATGCTACCGAAATTATCCTTCCAGTAGCCCTACAATGTAATAATTTCTAAATGGTAACTCATTTTCGTTGTTGGATTTCCGACAGGGTTGGACTAAGACAACTACATATGTATACATATATATGAGCAATGTGTATTTGTAAAATATTTGAATAATTAAATCTTATCTGGTACATTTTTTGCATTTAGGTACACGTTTTGGTATACAAAAAAATGAATAAGTGGCAACCGTGCTCCAGCAGCGCGCAACCTGCTGGCTCTAGGGCTGTTCCGATACAAGTAAATACGAGTATGTACTCGATACTTTTGTTTCGATACCAACTACTTTTTTTACTCGAATCGTTGTTTCGATACCTGCTTGGTATCGAAAGGAAAGAACTTGTATCGTTTCGGTTTGAGCAAGTGCCATATCTTGTCGGCCATACTTTTTTTCTGGAAAATAATTGCTACGTTTTTATGAAAAATAATTTATTTTAGAAATGGCACCGCCGAAATCTTAATTGTGGATATATATCTACAAAGTTAGTGATACCACAGCAAAGTACAAGCAATGCTTTGTAGCCGTAAAGTTTTGTGGGAACCATTCAAAGGTTGAATTTTTTGTCTAAATAATCATATTACTTCTAGAGTTACTATTGAACAAATGTACATATCGATACCTCAACTGAAAATTTATTGAAAATATTTGAGATAGGGCGTTTTGAATCGCCAGCTGATATAGGGCGTTTTTGAACCGAATTCTGAAATAGGGTGTTCTTGAAAAGTTTTCTGAATGGGGCGTTTTTCAATCAAATTCTGAAATAGGGCGCCTTTGAAATTTTTTCTGAGACAGGGCTTTTTCGAACTGCTGTCAATCTTCCATGGTATGTCACAGATAACGCCTGAAATTACTTTCGCTTTGTTGCATGTAAAAGGATGAAAAATTATCGATATAAGTAGGTATCGATACATTCGGTTCACTCATATAAGTATTATCGAAATAGCGATTTGAGTAAACTCATTTGAGCGCACAAGGGTATATTAACTTTGTTCGCATAACGGTTGTTTGTAACAGCCAAAATGAATCGAGATAGATATGGACAAATGTTTACATAAATGATCAGAATGAAAAGAGAAGTCGATTAAGCCATGTCTGTCTATCTGCCCGTCCGTCTGTCCATGTACACGAAAACTCGAGCAAAAATTGAGGTAGCTCAACGAAATTTGGCATGTAGGTTGCCCTTTATCCAAGGTAGGTTGCTATTGAAAATGGGCGCCCACTTCCCATATAACGGTATTTTCGAAAAATGCAAAAACTGCAATATTTCAGTAAATATTAGATGCTAATTGTTGAAAATTAGTAATATGGAGCAGAATTGTGGTAAAAAATAATATTATTATGAGATTTTTGGAAAATGGGCGTGACCCCGCCCACTTATGATGAAATGCCGTATCTCAGTAGCCGCTTCATCAATCCTTACCAAACTCGGTACGAGGCTTGGGCAGGGTCTAGCTAAAAAATCTGCTGGACATCTTTGAAATCGGGCAATAACTACGCCCACGTGCTATATAACGGTATCTTACAGAAACACGAAAACTGCGATAAATCAGTAACTACCCAGCAAAAAATCGGTAATCGCTTTTAGTGGTAACGTGTTCTAGAAGGCATAGCGTTGTAATGCCTTCGAATTTTTTCACTTCTTTTAGGCATTGTAGGTAATGCAAAGTAGAATGTCATACAATATTTTATTTATTTCGCTTCTTTGTTTCATTTTGGGGAATGCAAAGTAGAATGTCCTATAATATTTCTTTCTTAATTCGCTTCTTTGCTTCATTTCAGGGAATGCAAAGTAGAATGTCCTACAACATTTAATTTTTTTTCGCTTCTTTGCTTCATTTCAGGGCATGCAAAGTAGAATGTCCTACAATATTTTTTTTTTATTTCGCTTCTTTGCTTCATTTCAGGGAATGCAAAGTAGAATGCTACATCGTAGCCAGCTGAAAAATAGAATGGATATCCAAAAAATCTTTTTCTACCGTTAGTTTCTGTGGAAATTTGTCTCGCATAAAAATCATGTTTTGCTTTGTTCAATTTGCAGCGAAGTTGAAGTCAGTCAATGAAGTCAAGTACATGAGTGAGGAAGTACAATTTTAAGCTTAATTAAATATGCATGTATGTACATACCGATTTTTAAGTAAAATCTAAATACCCAAATACATACATATGTATGTATAAAAACTGATTTATATAAATTTTAATTAATTTTAATCTTTTAACACATTTTCTGATTTAATATATGTTAATAAGTATGTACTCATCTGGGCATTCTACATTAGTTTCTCTGTAAGGCATTCTTTGTTCGCTTCTCTGGATTCTGTTTATGCATGCGTTCTCCCTTCGTTTGAAGGTAATGCTGCGGGTAAGGGCTTACCGCCAATGACATGCCCATGTTAAAATAAGGCCTTCCTGAAGCGAAAGGGTAAGCGATTCCCATCGCCTAGCTCGTTTCCACTTTCGCTTCTGTGGTAATCGTGTTTTTTGCTGGGTACTAGCGCTAATTTACTTAAAATCGACGATTACAATAACCACTTATCAAAAAATTATAATATTATATACTTTTGGATAATGGGCGTGGCGCCGCCCACTTATGACCACAAATGTTTATCTCGGTAACCGATTTATCAATTTCTACAAAACTCGGTGCACCTAATAACCTTGGTACGGAAAAGCAATTTGTTGAAAATTATTCAAATCGGACTAAAATTACACCCGCTTCCCGTATAACGGTAAATTTCACGAAATTACGAAAACTCCGATATTTCAATAACTGAGGACGCTAATTTACTCCATGTTAATAGTTACAACAATCTCCTAACAATAAATAAGTCCTATAAACCTTTAGGAATTGGGCCTCGGTAACCACTTAATCGATTTGTTCCTAACTAGGCTCATCATGCAAAGGTAGTTCAGAGAAAGTTGAAACGATGATATTTGATACCTGCGCCGGGTATATAAAGTTCGGTTTCGCCCGAACTTATACTTCTTTACTTGTTTTCATATACTTTTGAATTTTGATTGGCACCAATATTGACTCCTTTATGCAAATTACGATTTTGAAGTTCACCACCAAAATTTATACCGAATTTACAGGAAAACTGAAAACCAAATGTCTTCGGTAGCTTTCGAAATTAGACCGAGAAAGGAACCTCAAATTTCATTTATAACAAATATGCATGCATATGACTAATATGTTAAACAAATACCAATTCAAACTGTAAATACGTTTTTCGATTACATTGGTCTGTGAGCCCCTTGGAAGATTAAAACTAAATTTCCGACATCTGTATAAACTCCCCTTTCTTTTCATCAGAATCGGGGGAGTTTAAGTACCACGAAGATGTAAAACAAAATACAATATTTCTTTTTTTAATGGCGTTTTTACACGGGATTTGCCCAGATTTGGCTACCAAGTTACACGAAATTTTACGTTGCGATTATGTTTTCTAAAGATGAAGCAAATGTGACCATAAATTTTAAGGATAGCTCTCAATTAGAGATGGGCGCGGGATATCGGGATCCGCGGCATCGCGGTACTGATTTCAAAATGGCCGGGATGGGCGGTATCGGTAAGGTCTGCAACAACTTTTCGGGCGGGATGGGACCAAAATCTTTCCCGACACTCCCGGTAATACCACAACCTCCGGAAATTCAGAAAATCTTCCTTCAAAAATTTGTATGAAATATCCACTTTTTGTGTTTTATTGAGACGAAAACGAACAGCAAAGCAAAACAAAAATGGGGGGATGCCAGATCTTTCATAAAAGTTTTTTATTTAAATTTAGTTTGAAAGACATGTGATTTATTTTATATAGGTTTCGGGACCCTCGGGCTCGCAATACAATTCTGAAAATCTTCGGGATGGGCGGGTTCAGAACATAAAAATTTAATTTCGGGATGGGCGGGATCGGAACTTAATATTTAGTCCCATGCCCATCTCTACTTTAAATCCCTGCGCCACCTAACGGAAGACAAACACATTGATCCTTTTAAAAATCATTACACAAAATAACAATCATTCAATGCGATTTAGAAATCTGGTAGAAAATGGTTCCCAATTGAATTTTTTTTGCCATTTTATATGTATGTAGATGTAGGTGTATCAAAATGCATTATCTTATCATAAGTGGTTCCAGATATAAGCGATATGGAAATTGCGAATTTGTGTTATTTCCCAATTGAATGTGAAATAACACAAATTTGCTTTATTTTATTTCTCGTTGAGCAATAAGACCAAATTTTAAACTTAACAATTGAGTAATAAAGCAAAATAATGCACATATGTAGGTAGTCACCCAGTTACAATTGACAAAAAGTAGTACATGAACAAGTTAAATGGACGGATTTGTAAGTATACAATTTTGAAAGTGGCCAGCGTCGCGGCGGACCTTCTGGCTCTAATCCGCCGTCTTGAACTACCTTACGAGAAACTGTGTTGTTTCTTTGTTAATTTCACTGAACATTTCCCAAAATATTAGAAAAAATTCTAAACAAGCTACATTGATTCAATTTTCGTTGTTCGTTTTGTTCTTATTCGCTGACATTTGTTTCCTAATTGCGTGAAATTTGGTAAGTATTGTAATAAAACCAAATTATTTTACAAATAAATTATAATTTTGCATTTATTAGGTCATTTCCTTAGTGTTTTCCTAGCCGACCTGTGCTGGTATTGTAATTAAGAGCTAATGCACGTAAGTTACAACATATTATTTTGACTTTATTGATGAACCATTCCATTTGCAGCATTCTCTGGTGAACTGCAGCTGCGGCCGAATTTGATTGTGTGCATCATCCTGCAGATATTTTGAAGTAAGATGGAACCAGCACTTTGTTATTTCAAAACCTAATGAACCATTTATTCGCAGATTTTGTGGACGACTTTGCTGTGCTGCATTCCTTCTCCGCCTGTGTATTGCTCCGCCCGTGTTTTTTAGTGTGCGTTCCTGTTGCGCCTTTGCATTAGTGTGTGCGTTGTGTTTTAGACACGTTGAAATAAGTTGAATCCAGGTTTTTGTTTGTTAAAAACCTAAAACACCATTTACTTGCAGATTTTTTTATGCTTCTGCTGTGCTGCGTTCCTGCTCCACCCGTGTATTAGATTGCTGCGTTCCTGTTAATATACATATCGCCATTTAAAGTAAAAAACCGCGTAATTGATACATGGTTTTGTACTTTAAACGACGACATATACACAATTAATGATGTGTACATAATTTTTTTTATATTGAAACTAGATATGTATATAGTATGTTATTATTATTATTCGGTTCAAAAAAGTCCTATCTCAAATGAAAATACTTTGAAAATGTGCTAAGATAGGGCGTTTTTGAATCGTCAGCTGAGATAGGGTGTTTTTGAACCGAGTTCTGAGATAGGGCATTTTTAAACCAAATTCTAAAATAGGGCGTTTTTCAGCCAAATTTTGAAATAGGGCGTTGAAAAGTTTTCTGATATAGGGCGTTTTCGACCTGTCTGCCGAGATAGGTCGATCTTCCACCCAGCCATCGATATATAGTCGCATTTTTCGTTATATGGAAGACGATTAAACACAATTTGTTTTTATATCGATTCTGAAAAATCTACGGTAATTTGTAGTCACTTCAAACTTGTTTTATGAAGTTTTAAAATTGTGCTTATATGGGTTTTTTTAGAAATTGAATTTTATTTTTATTGTAAATTCTTAGAAATAAATAAATTAACATGAGAGGAAAATAATATCACTTTGAAGTGGGGTTGCTATTGATATGACCGATACTTATGTATATAATAAATTTTGCACAATTAAAAATCGAAGTGGATTTACTGAAATAAACACAACATATTCTGAAATATATCGTTAATTAAAAAAAAAAAAATAAAACATTAAAAAGTACTCAATGCTTGCTGTATGACACGCACTTGGATATACGTGAATTTGGGTAATGTATAATTCCTTATATGATTCCTCAAAGTATCCCTTATATAACACTGTGGAATACAAAAAAGACCTTAGTGCGAATATATCAGGTTTGGCAGCTGTTGACCAAGGTGTATTAAACAAGGTGTGATTGACAACTCAGTTAGGCTCTCTTTTAAGGTACTATTATGCCAAAAAATATAAAGAATCTATTCAAAATTCATACAAAATTTTTTCTATTTTACTTTATAGGATGGTTCTTCTGAGAGCAATGCCAAATTCAATCACACTTTGTTGAATACATTTTGCTGTTGCCCATACCAATAATGCCTCATACTCAGATTTACTAGATCAATTCGTGTTCTCCGAGAAAAAAAATTTTCACGATACAAAAATCTGAAAAATCTTGTATCTCCAAATTTTGAACATTTATCGTTTTTGGCCTATATTTTGTTGAAATAGTAAAACTGAGTATGAAGCATTATTGGTATGGTCAGCAGCTATCAAACCTGATACATGCGCACAAGGCGTCCATATGAAAGAGCGGGACAAAAGATCATACGTAAATGAATTCCTCTATTTGGCCTGTACAATATAAGGGAAACATTTCAAACTCATAAGGGATATTTTTCTTAGTGATGCGGCTAATATAAGGAATTATATAAGCCATACTGTTATAGCTGGGTATTCATCAGCTCAAAAAGTTTAAGCATATTAGCCTATTCCTGTCAATAAAAAACGCATAATTTTCTTATTTTAATTATCTACAACTTTATGAGGCTACCAAGCCATATATATACCTATTCTGATAATCGGAACGCTGTTGAGAAGGCATAAAATTTAGTACTTTTTCAACTAAAAGGCTTTTTTTCTTCCCGTTTTTCTTGTACTTCCAAAATACAGTATTGACCTAAGGTAGTTCCATTTCGAGCTGTCACAACGTACAACACCTTTCATTATTGCATCATGATAAAATGTGACTGTAAGGCAGCTGAATGTCAGAAAATAAAGCGAGAAAGCCGTTTTATTACTTCATCTGTTTATTGCGACATCGTTCCATGCATACATTTTAAGGTTTTCCAGCAATGTTTTTAACATATTAAAAAGCATGCAGACAAAATTCATACAAAAGCGCTATGTCCAATATAACGAGCAGTTATTAAAGACAATGCTTTCCCTATATTTCGTTAGACTTTTCATAGGGTTCAAAACCTAGTCAAAGCAACATCGCAAAAAATATAGAAAAAAGGTTTTTTCTTAACAGCGGTCGTCCCTCGGCAGGCAATGGCAAACCTCCGATTGTATTCCTGCCATGAAAAACAGCTTCTCATAAAAATACAATCGCCGTTCGGAGTCGGCGTAAAACTGTAGGTCCCTTCGCTTTGGGTGACAATTTCAAGGCGCACGCCACAAATCGAAGGAGAAGCTCGGCCAAACACTAACATATGTGTAAGCGCCAATCTATTATTATTATTTTTATTATTTCATAAGTAAAATTATTTTGTGAATATTACTTTCTTCATATGAATTATATCACATTCGAGTTTAAATACTGCACTTGATAGTAGTTGGTTGAATAAGAAAAATGAATTAGCAACAAGAGTTTACGGGATGTACATAGCTCAGTGGTTAACGCTTCTGACTTTGAACATCGAATACGCAGGTTCGATCCCTGCTAAAGTCTAGAAAAAAGAAGTCTGATGAGGAGATGTGGTGATCTCCGAAATAGTGCTATATCTTCTACCGCTTAGACTTTGTTGCTTTTTCAATTTTTTCCTAATAAACAATCGTGGTACAAAGCTCAATAAAAATATTAAAAAATAAAATGCTAACAAGCCACAATAACATTGACAAATACATAGTTTAGGAAGAGCCTGCCTGAAACTATACAAAAAAGCAAATAAGCAAATGGATGTATAGAATTGACAACAACAACCACACTGTCAAGTTTAAATAGCGGCAAATCAGCTGCACTTTATAGTAGTTGGTTGAATAAGGAAAATGAATTAGCAACAAGAGTTTACGGGATGTACATAGCTCAGTGGTTAACGCTTCTGACTTTGAACATCGAATACGCAGGTTCGATCCCTGCTGAAGTCTAGAAAAAAGAAGTCTAATGAAGAGATGTGGTGATCTCCGAAATAGTGCTATAACTTCTACCGCTTAGACTTTGTTGCTTTTTCAATTTTTCTTAATAAACAATCGTGGTACAAAGCTCAATAAAAATATTAAAAAATTAAATGTTAACAAGCAACAATAACATTTACAAGTATCACATTTTTTGTTTAATTCAAGGCCTATTAAACAGGTTTAGAGCATTTGAGCGAAAAAAACATTTGCCAGTATTTTGTGGTTGCTTCTGGTATCGAAAGTGTCAAAAACTGTTCTGATTTTTTTTTTCTTCTACACCAAAGCTTCGCTTTACTTGACAGATTCACTTTGACAAATAAGATGAATTGTATGAAAATGCACAAAGCACGCCAAATCGATCCTTGAAGCTGCAGCGTGAAGCGAAAAGATGGCCAACTCCCATCTTTTTGCGCACTTTGACAATCAGCCGGTTTAATATTTATTTTGTTTCGTCCAAATTCGAGTTTTCATGCAGAAACATAAAACTTAGTTACATTGCTGATATTTTTAAAGCAAAATATATAAAATCCACAACAATTTTGACAAGTAAAAAAGCAGTACAAAATCGTTGTTTTTTTTTGCGTTCATTGTGGCATACCTTTCGCGTCTGGCGCTTCGCTGACAAAGTTATAAATGTCACGCAAAGCTACAAAGTTGTATCTGGCATCAGCTTTAGTAAATTGGTTTGCTTCTCGAAGCATTGACCCATCCTGTGCCAGGCCCAGTAATTAGCGGTTGTCCTGCTGAGTTGGGCGAGCGTTCCTAAAGCTGCTATTCAATCGCGGCTTTTGTATGGATAAAGGTTTCACATGCAAATAGATTTTAACAATTTAGAATTTTTGTGAGAATAAATTAAAAATACTAGTGTTCGCCCAGCGGTTGAAATTCAACCGCTAAAATTAAAGATAGTTTATGTGAGTTGAGTTGAGCTTAAATAACATTAGTTGGAATAGGTTAAGTGGAGGGGAGTTTAGCTTAGTACTTAGCATAACATAACATACCATAACATAAGATTAAGTAACATAACTTATGTAGCATAACACACCACAATATAACATCGCACACTCTTCAGTTGTATTTCCTTTTTATCCCTATCACTTTCTTCCTCTCTATCTATGCCAAATGATGTCACTGATGCCACATCAAGTGATATCATGTCATGTGGTGAAATTTGGTGTGGAAGTTACGGTGTTGTGAATTCAGGTATGGTGGGCTTAATAGGTGTAGTGAGTTTATGTGTGGTGAATTTAGTTGTGGTAAATTTATTTGTGGTGAGTTGAGGTGTGGTGAGTTAAGGTGTGGTGAGAAAGTTGGGGTGTGGTTAATTAAAGTGTGGTGATTTGAGGTGTGGTGAGTTAAGGTGTGGTGAAAAAGTTGAGGTGTGGTGGATTTAGGTGTCGGGGGTTAAGGTGTGGTGAATTAATGTTAGGTGAGCTCAGGTAAGTAAGTTTTTAAGCGGTGGTGAGATGAGTTGAGGTAAGTTAAGTTAAGGAGTTATGATCTTCATTTTCATCTTCATCTTCATCTTCATCTTCATCTTCATCTTCATCTTCATCTTCATCTTCATCTTCATCTTCATCTTCATCTTCATCTTCATCTTCATCTTCATCTTCATCTTCATCTTCATCTTCATCTTCATCTTCATCTTCATCTTCA